TATGTTAGTGCAAAATTAGGAGCAGGATTATAGATGAAACGGATTGGTAAATTACCGAACTCTTGTATAACTTTTTAGGTAGATTTCACGAAGTTACCTTAAAGCTTAGTGGAACTTATTACCCAACGTCATCATTAGCGTTAGGAGAACTTTTAAGAATGTCTATTTTATTTAGTGAATTTAGGACACACGAGGTTTTAGGAGTTCCTATCGCCTCTATGGAAAAGAAGTTTAAAAAATATTAGTCTAAATTACCCATGTTGTATGGTTTTAGTGTTATTTTTTACCCTAGATTAAAATTAGAAGGTTTAGAAGCAGGATTAGATAACTTAGGTGACTTTTTAGCTATCGACACTACTGACCAATTTCCTATTATAAAGGAAAACATATTTTCTCTCTATATCTCTTACGAAAGTAGATTTAAAAACACACCTCGTGTATAAGAACCGCAACAACGAGACGATAATCTGCATTCATTCTTGAATGTTTTCGGGTTGTCTAAGAAGAAGAAGAAGACGACGGCTCAAGGTCAAGAAGAATCTGGGAGTGGATCTTCATCAAGAGGTGGCGGCGAATTCAACGAGTTAATGGCGTACCTGAGTGAGGGTTTAGTTGTAGACAGTAGTGAAATGTTTGATTTGGTTGAGTGGTGAAGGACACGAGCATTAACTTGACCGATCCTTACACGACTGGCAATGGATATTTTTTCGATCTCGGTCTCCACTGTTGCAGCCGAACAAGCATTCAGTACAATCGGCCGAATACTTGAAGAACGGAGAAACGCATTGTAGTAGGATATTGTTGAAGTTTTGGTGTGCATCAAGAATTGGGACCGTTCCGACCAACGCTTACACGATACAATCTCACCGGCAAGCCAAGAATGGATCGACGAATTTAATAGATTAACTTTTAATTTTCAAGACGATCTTTCTGCTTCAAATTAAATTTTATTATTGTAATTTGTAAATATTTATTTACTTCAATTTCTAATTTGTATAGTGTTATTGTAATCTTGTATAGACTTTATAAGTTCATCAAATTTGTAATTCACCTCACAATGATTGCACTCTTTTTTCCTTACTAAGTTTTTATCCCAATTGAGTTTTTCTTGGTAAGGTTTTTAACGAGACAATCTTGAATTACAAATTTAAAAATCAATAAAGAAATAATTTTTTTTTATATTATTTGTGTGTTCATTTCAAATGGTAATATATATACAATATATATATATACACATTATACAATATAAAAATATAATATAAAAAATTTTTGAAAATTCAGGCAAGCAGTCAAGCAACGGGCAGCCCGATCGGGCACGGGCAGCCAATTGCTGCCCGAAGCCCATCCATGAAGAAATTCGGGTCGGGCAGCCCGAATTTTTGGGCAGTTCAGGTTCGATAATTAGGCGAAAATTCATACTTTTCGATGGTCACGAGCAGCCCGTCTAAAGTTTCAGCACTAGTTCCCTTCCCACATCACCTTACATCCTGCATGCTCTTTACAACAAAATATAAATGCGTCAACCAGTCCTTTTTTTTTTTTTTGATAATATGATCAACTAGTTCTCTACTTGATTACTTCATAAATTAGCTCCAAAAAATCCACATTAAATATATTAGTGTATGAGTTATGACGTTTGAAAATAATTACAATCCATCATCTCATATTCATAGGATTCAACCCTTATATCTCCTCATTCATATTTCTTTTAACATTCTTTTATATTTGCCTCCTCAATTAATATTATAGGTGCCATGTCAATTAAAATATGGGATAAAATTATTTTAGTTCTCTATATTATAACGAAATATACTTTTAGTATCATGTATTTTTTATAATATTAAAAATGATAAATTGACGTTTTTAAAAACATCTTCTCAGTACCTTAAAGCTAATTTTTAGGACATGTAATGTCCAAAGTACAATTCTTATTAATTAAATAGAAATCAATATTTTTTAAAAAAAAATCTGAAAATATTTCAAAACATTAAAATATTTAAAAGAAAATAACAAAATAAAAAAGATCATGATTTTTTTCTTAAATCTATTAATTTTTTATTAATTAAATAAAATGGTACTAAGGTCATTTTAAATCTCAAAAATTAATTTTAAAGTACCAAAAATATATTTTTAAAAATGTCGAGGTACCGTTTTATTATTATAAAAAAAGACACAATATTAAGAGCATGTTTCGCTATAATACATGCTACTAAAATGATTTTATCCCTTAAAAAATATTGTGAAAAATTAATTAAAATTCTATATCACTAAAATAAACAAAGATTATATAAACAAAGGGACATGTACCGAATCCATAGTCATATATTTATGCTCATCAAAATATTTATCTCCTCAATAGAATTCTTATTGATTTCTTTTTAAGGAGTTAAAAGAATGTTCTGATCTAGAATTAAAAGACCACGTACGTATAAATGCCCACTATTAATGTTGCTTTGAGAAAGACTGAATAGCATTTGTACCTCCTATGAATTTGCTCTAAATAACTGAGATTAAAAGTTTCTTTGGAGGTGATGATACCAGTTTTTGCCCATCAAGACATTTATTTGAAAGGATATATATCTAATTCATTGTAGAAGTTACCGTCAAATCCACTGGTTGTGTTCAGTTTTGATTCTGGCTTTCTTTTGAATATGAGTTTAATTGCCTTTCTTTTTTTTTTTAATACAAAAGATACGAGTTTCCCATTGATTTTATGGTCTCGTTCACTCTGTGGATTCGAGTTTTTAATTTGAACTGAGATGTAATATTTTGTAAAAAAATTTTACTGTAGTAGAAAAAATTAAATGTTCTTCATTTTTTTTTTTGGCGGAATAATAAATAAAGGAAAAACAATTGTAATCGGTCATTTTCAACAGCCATCCGTTTGCTTTTGATTTCAAAGATCATATGGTCGTCATCAAATAACTTCTTTATGCACAAAAGTCGTCAAATAACTCTTCTCAAGGGTATATGATATGTATATGATCGTTAAAACTCAAATCAGTAGAACCCATAATTTTGTTAGTGATGGGGTTTTATCTTATAGGGATGTAAATATTTTTATATGTATATTTTCTTTAGTCGGTCCCGATAATGAAAAAAAAAGTGATTGAAATGATCAAAATCTCCGTTCACTTCACCAATTTGAGTTTAGAATTCGAGTTTTACTACAGTAAAAAACTCTCACAAACAATCACATCTAACTTTTTTGCTACAGTAAAAAGCTCTCACATAAAATCACATCTCAACTCGAATTACAAACTCGAATCAACGAAGTGAACGGACGAGTTTGTTCGTTTACATCCAAACTCAAAAAAGTTTGAACTTAAATTATAATTTTATTCAAGTTTATGTTCTTTTGTAAAATTTAAGTTTACACTTGAGTTTTAATTTGAATTTTAACTGAATTTGAGGTTAAAATTAAAGTTCAAGTTTTCTCTTCAACTCAAGTTCTTAAATTCAAACTCAAGTTAATGAATAATATTTTTTCTATTCTTAAAAACGCTATAATTTTTTTATTTTAATTCTGATTGAGATGATTCTTTTTTTATGTGTTTATAACGAATAGATGAATAAATCATCGCCTATATATTCTATTAAAATTTTTCATTATCATTGAGTTTTTATTAAAATACTATCTAAATAAAAACTTAAGTTTTGACCCATTTAAACATAAACTCAAAAAGATTTTCACCTCAAACCATAACTTAAATGTACACAACTAAACACAAACTCAAATTACAACTTCAACTTAAATTATAACTTAAATTCAATTTAAAATCTACACTCAAACCATCATAATTCAAAAATGTAACTAAATAAGCCTTTCCTTCCGTGCAACAACGTATCCCCATCAACGCACAGCCGATCAGAAGCATCTTCCTCTTTACGTACCGGTTCTTCAGGTGCTTCCACACGGTTCTTTCCATGCGCCTGCGCAACACCCGAACTCACTACATGCTAAACCCAAGCTTTTATTTCATCAGTCATTACCAAAAAAACCCAAAAAATAAAAATAAAAATAAAAATAAAAATAAAATAAAGTAAAATAAAAACTTTCATCAGTCAAACAATCTTTCCTTGACGACACCGTGACGCTATCTACTCCTACATTACGCAATCCAACGGCTATCACAATCCTGTGACAAATCTCTAGGGCCTCGTTCGTTTCGATGATTCGAGTTTAGAATTTGAGTTAAGATGTGATTGTATGTGAGAGCTTTTTACTGTAGCAAAAAAGTTAGATGTGATTGTTTGTGAGAGCTTTTTACTGTAGCAAAACTCGAATTCTAAACTCGAATCAGCGAAACGAACGAGGCCTAGACTTATTACCCATCTGATCTTCATCACCTATTTCCCGGATTACTCATATCTTCTTTTCTTATTGACGATCCTGTCCCTAACTTTATTCGTTTACTTCAATGATGAATTCCGTACGTGTGATTGTAGGGGGGGTAATCCAGGCAATTATGTAATTAACCCTTGTTTTTTCTTTCCTAATATGTCAAAAATACTTTTTATTTTTGTGGAAGCAAAGATAACCTGTAAGATTTTCATTTCAATCACGTACGTTCTTTGACGTAATTTTTTCACTTCCATCAATTTCTCCTCTGAAGGATTTTGCGACTAATTAATTTCTTATTCCATAATTACCCTGACCTTTTTTCATTATCCAATTTCCCCGTAGGCACCAAAAAAAAAGTATAATGCTAAATATTCAATAGAGAATAGGGGTATCCATGACATCAAAAAAGGTATATCCCTCTCTGCCAATGGAAAGACAAGGATGTAAATATGAGGGATTTACGGTCTCTTCGACGTTGACAGGAAAATCTTTAATTATTCATAATATCTTTCCTCCTTACAATTAATAATAAATAAATAAAAATTTAAAGTAAAAAATAATTTCACATCATTTAAACCACCCTATATAAATAGTGACTTCTAGAGTTCCAATTCCCAGTCCCACTATCTTCCACACACACGATTCCACGAACAAAATGAACAACGACAACAGAAAAGCCTTAGAAGAAGCTCTCTTCTTCCAAAACCCAGAAACTTTCAATCTCCTCGCCGAAAGGCCGTCGTTTTACGGCTCTTTCATGGGCACTCATTTCGCAATCTCTTCAATTTCGCTCCCCAACAACAACCACCACCACCTAAAACTCCTCCAACCGCCGAGTGATCACGAAAACCAACAACAACCCGGCCAACAAGGCCCTCCTGTTCTCGACGGAATCGCCGCCGTCGTCGGCGAGCACGTCCTCTTCGGCGGGAAAACTGCCGCGAAAGAAGAAGGGATGACCGCCACTGCAAAATGCGCTAGACCGGAAGCTATAACTGCGGCTGAGAGCAGTGTTCCGGTGCAGCGGAGCTACAGGGGAGTAAGGAAGAGGCCGTGGGGGAGGTGGTCGGCGGAGATAAGGGACAGGATAGGGCGGTGCCGCCACTGGCTGGGGACGTTCGACACCGCCGAGGAGGCGGCACGTGCCTACGACGCGGCCGCCAGGCGTCTCAGGGGCTCCAAGGCCCGCACGAATTTCGAGATCGCCTCGGTCTTGCCCTTGCTGGTGCCGTCTTCGGTTTCGCCCTCGTCTTCCTCGTCCTCGTCGTCGTCTGGGAATCTCAAAACGCGAGGAAAGCTGTCGTCGTTGTCATCTTCTTGTTCGAAGGCGGCGCAACGACGGAAGACTGGCTTCATGAGGAACAAGTGTTCGGTGGTGACGTCAGCGGCTCATCTGTTCAGCAGTAGTCCTGTTCCCAAGGAGATCAACGGGAAAGTGGTACGTCATGTGGAGCTTGATCTGAAGCTAGGCGTGGCTTCTGCTGGTGACAACATTAGAATTTAGGGTTTCTATAAAATTTATATCTTTCTTTTTTTTGTTGGGTTTTGTTTAATTTTTGGGTTGTTTTGACTGGTACTAGTACTAATTAGTCATGTTAGGAGGGTTAAACTTTAGATTAATACGTATGTGCATGAAAGCAATTAGGACTTCCAGGGTACCAAGTTATCAGGTGAAACTTATAGTTTATGCTTTTGAAATGTCTAGGACTACTCTTTTTTTTTAATGGAAAAATGTCTAGGACTACTTGCTGAATATAGAAAATCTAAAACTATTGTTGTAAGTAGTAATTTTAACCTCTCTCTCTCTCTCTCTCTCTCCGTTCATGGAATGTGTGTATTAAGAGTATTTTTACTTAAAAAAATGTGTGTATTAAGAGTATTTTTACTTAAAAAAATGTGTGTATTACGCTTGGAGACAAATGTGTGTATTCTTTTGAGCAGGGGCAGAATATTTCTCGACCTGGGTCCTAGCGTTTTAGCATTTTCACACAAAAAAAAAAAAAAAGGCGCATGAGGTACTAATTAGGAGTTTTAAGCTCAATATTTTTTTTGTTTTGTTGGTCGTTTAGCTTGTCAAAGGGGTGACAATGGAAATGTGATATGGTACTGTCAATGCATATGGTAGTAACGTCGTATTCTTTCTTTATGGATGATGTTGAGAATCATTTGTTCCATTAATTTTGAGCGCTTGAACAAGAGAATACTCCAGGTTTTATGGCTTTGGTCAATCTTTAAGTACAACGATCCTCCCTTTTTCTCGGCCTATACAAATATATATATATCTCTTAATTCACATAAAGTAAATGTCTATGCATAGGCCTAGCCGATTAGAAGTCGAAAACAATGGAAATGAACTCAAGAAGTCTAAACGTAGCCTACATGTTCAAATGGGTTTTCTGTGGACATAAGATATTATCCGGTACTCTTTTGTTTGTAGGCCATTTTCTTTTCTTGAGAGGAAATCGATACGGTGAAACGGTTATCTTTTTCTAGCAAAAAGAAAGAAATAAGAAAATTACAACGCTAACTATAGGTTTCAGCATTCTATCAAAAATATCTATTAGTTTACAAAGAAACAAAATTAACTATTAAAAGAAAGGAATTCTCTAATGCACTTGGCGTATTGATAAGTCAGATTTTTTTACTCATTAAATTTGCGTATTTTTTAATTTTTACGTGAATTTATGCAAATTTTGTAGACAAAAAATTTAACTTATCAACATGTTGGCGTATTAGAAAATGTTCTTTAAAAGAAATTTATGTTCCATAGATGCATTTTTGAACTATCAAATTCTCATTAAATTCAATTAACTCTGTAATTTTCTTAATCAAATATTATTTAACATATGTATAAAACTATAAGACTTTATTAATATGATTTTTTTTTTAATTTTAGTGGTAGGAATTGTCATTTATTACTACTAGTAGGATCTCCTCTTTTAACTATTGAATTAATTTACTAATGAATCTATATATGTATGAATGGGAGCTGTTGGTAAGAAATCACAACAAAAGTATACGTTATCGTTAACAAGTAATAAAGCGATAAATAGAGTATTGTTTTCACGAGAATTATCTTAATTTAATTAAGTACTAAAATTGGTTAACTCTAAAGATTATTTGAACGACCAAAAATCAAATTGAGAATAATAAAATAAAAAAACCTAAATAATCTAGGTCTATGACTCACTAAAATTAATCATATTTGAAAATCTTATTTAAATTAGTTGTCTATTCATTATGTTGACAGTAAATTTCTTTAAATTAATTGTTAATCTTTTTCAAGCATTAATAATAATGTTAACACGTGACATTACATCTATGTCAAGATTTTAACACGCTGAAAATTATAAACACTGCACTAGCCTCATTTATATCTCTATCATGTGACATCTAATGACATTCTAATAATGGGCATATTTAATTGTCACCTCTCGGTCTCAAATTATATCAATTTATGTAATTGTTGATCAGACAATCACAACCATTAAACACGTAATGAAATACTTAACATATTTTGGGAATAAAATAAGAATAAATTAAAAGTAGAAAAATCAAATATTCATAATCCGGTTACATCATAGCCTCTAAAAAACAAACTAAGATATCAGTTCAGACATAATTAAAACACAAGAATAAACAATTAAAAATTTCAAAAAATAAAACCGATCAAAAGTGTCACGAGTCTAGATGCTTCTTCCTTTAAATTTTCTTCTCTTTCTCCTCACAACTTCAAAAATATTTTTCCAATAATTCTAAAAATATAAACAAATAATCCTAAGAAAGCAATCCCTAAATCCCTAAATAATTCCCCAAATATTTTTTTTTTATCTCACCTCATCCTATGGCTCTCTATTTTTGGATCTGTACTAGGGGTGGCAATTCTTGTTGGCGGGTCGTGTTTGTGTCGTGTTGACCTTCTCAGTTGACACGAATAGGCCTGACACGAACACGACTCGTTTATTAATCGTGTCAAAATACAAAACCCAAACATGACCTGTATATTGACGGGTTGACACGACACGACACGAATAACCTATTTATTAAACAGGTCATAAACGTGTCGTGTCAACCCGTTGATTACCTGTCAATCCGTTTATAAAATGAGTGATAAATGAGTTGTGTTAACCTATTTCTGAACGTATTTTTGAACTTGTTTATAAAATGGGAGACAAATAGGTCGTGTTAACCTATTTCTGAACCTATTTTTGAACATGTTTATAAAATGGGTAATAAACAGGTTGTGTATTCGTGTTACCCAAATATGACACGTTTAACAAACGGGTTATGACGGGTCAATTGTGAGTTGGCGGGTCAACTTGAAAATGACACGTTATTTAATCGTGTTTCACGGATTTAATCTGATTTTGATCCAAACCTATTTATAATAAACTTCAACTCACTAATTTCATGTGAATTTTAAATTGTGTCGTCGTGCCGCTATCCGAATTGTTAGTCCTAGTCTGCACGTGGAAGAAAGAATGCGCAGGGAGTCCGATGGGGTCCTCCCTCAATTTAAACTATTAAATAGGCCTCCTCCAATTGCCGCCAGAGAGAGAGAATAGAAAGCAGATGGGGCTGCTGACACGCTGGCCTCGTGGCGTCTTTTAACAGGACGAAGGAGAGAGCTAGAGACGTGGCAATACGGGAGAGGGATAAAGCACGGGTGCACGGAAGATAAACTGTAACGCGTCACGGAAGATTGGATCAGCTGCTGAGAGAACTGACATGGCGCTGACTGGGCGCTTGCAGCACGCGCGCGCTGGATAGCCTTTATGTGCGATCATCGGTTGAGATCGGCGAGTGGTTCTGCGTGTGGAGAGTTTGATCCGTATGAAATTGTGATTTATTTCCGAAATTTAGCTTCTTTTTAATTTCAATTAACTGCACTTTACATCTAATTTAAATAATTTGTGATTAATAAAATAATGGGTTATTTACATAAATGCGGATTATGAGTAGTGCTGAAAATTTGGGCCGGGCTAGACGGGCCGGCCCAAAGCCCGTTACTGTGGGCCCGGGCCGGCCCGAATCCGTACAAGCCCGAGCCCGGCCCTAGTCTAGGGCCGGGCTGGGCCGTAATTTTAGGCTCGCGGGCGGCCTGAGCCCGGCCCGAAAATAGCCCGAATGGCCCGAAATGGCCCAAAGGCCTATTTTTTATTTTTTATTTTTGTTTTTGGCCCAACGGTTATATTACCACTGAAGACAGAAGGACTTTGTTGATTTCAGAAATGGTTGAGGTGCTAATGTGTCTAAAAGATTGGGAAAATGTTTCTTTGCGAATGTAACACACCGCCGAAGACAGAGATTTAATGGATCAATTTCAAAACTTATACATTGATGATGACTCTTCTGATGCCGGGGAGCAGTGTAGCAGGCAGTTAGATATTTTTGTTTCTTAAGTATATATAAATTGTAACTGTGAAAATAATATTGCACTCTTTTTTCCTTATCAAGGTTTTATCCCAATGGGTTTTTCTTGGTAAGGTTTTTAATGGGGCAGTTATAATTGCATAAATAAAGTTTTATTCCATTAAAATTTTACAATATTCACTAGTTATTATAAATTTCATTACCTTTTTTAAAATTTTTTATAAATCATGCTCGGGCCGGCCCAGCCCTAGGCCTGTCGGGCCTTATGGCTGGGCCTATATAAAGTTATTTAGGGCCGGCCCGGCCCGGCCCGATTAAAACTCCGGGCCGGCCCGAACTACCCTTTTGGGCCGCCAGGCTCGGGCCGGGCCGGGCCGGCGGCCCGTATTTTCAGCTCTAATTATGAGTACCTTATTTTTAAAAATGTCTACTTTCTTGTTTATTTACAAAAATCTCTGTTGTTATACATGTTAAAGATCATTAAATCCTCGTATAATGAAATAAGGGAAAAATGATTAAATAAACAAAATAGATAAGAAAATAGAAACAAATATAACAAGTAAATTAATTTAACAAGTAAATTTTCCAATTTCTTTTCCTCCAAAGTCAACACCGAATGAAATTAGCATTTAATGAAAATGTAGTTGTTCTAAACAAAAGGAAGTTTCCTTTAATGGGGAAAAAAAAAAAAGAAAGCCACAAAACTTTTTAAAATAGGTGATCTGTTATTTTGCCCAAAAAAAAAAAAAAAAAAAAGAACCCCTAAAACTCTGTAAAATAATTTTTCATTATTCTCGTTAGTTTAAAAAGCCAGTTTCAAAAATTTTGGTTACAGTTCTGGTAGTGATAAATGTTGTTTCTTTGTTGTTATCAGATACGCTGTATTATTTTAGTTCCTTTCATTATTACAATGATGATTTCATTATGTTAAAACATTATTATTGCCACTTATGAGCTAAATATTGATTCCTTATTATTGTGAGATATGCTATAACGTTTTAGTTCTTTTCAATATTTGAATGATGTTTTCATTATGTTAAACACCGAATTAATGCCAATAATGAATTTAAACTTTCATTTAAATTATTTTATATCATATATAAATGAGAAAAGAAAATGAACTTACATGAC